TGTGAGTGAGTTATGTAGTTTCGGTCTTTTTTTGCCACGAGAACGAGGTGAATTACGAGTGTACTTTTGGCACGACTGGGGACAAAAGAACTGAAAAATGATAGTATGCACCTTTTGACTGATTCAACCTTCTAATGATGAGAAATTCAAATCGATTATTATAGGAGTTGCGCGATTAGATGGGGTTTGAGCATTCATCATATAAAACTGAAATTAAATTTTACCTTTACCCTTTCTTCAATTTATTGTTCAGAAGTAAATATTGAACAGCTTTTACTTTCGTTTCGCATTTCGAATAAGAAAAAAAATGTCGAGAATTCAATGCCTTAGAAAATATCACGTTGAACTTCATTAGTTATATTTTAAAATTTTTCTGTCTTTAATATTGTTAGACTAAATTATGTTCACTATGTTCAAAATACAATAAATATCATTTTCAGCGATCTTCTCGACACGTTTATCAGAAGAACAGGAACTTCCATCTGGATAGGACTTGACGATTTTGAGAAACAAGACAACTGGAAATGGTCTGACAGTTTTATCAAGTTCTTCTAATACACCATGGAGTGAAGGAGAACCAAATGGTCCAAATGAACGATGTGCTTGTATGTTCGAGCCACTGCAATATAAGTTGATAGATACCCGTTGTTTTCTAAATCGATTATACCTTTGTGAAAAGTAATCTCTTTTTTTTCTTCCCTTCTAAAAGATTAATCAGAAAATTGTAGTCTGTAGCTTATCTACAACTCAGGCTAAAGTCCAAGCTCTCAATATCCACATGGGCCCAATGCTTTTTCATTTTCTTTTAAATTGTTTGTTTCAGAATTTAATTAACCGGTTCAAAAATTTATTCTTAAATTTTTTTCAATTTTATCCATCAGTTATTCTTGTTCCAAATATTCTTTTTGAAGAGTTAAATATTCAAATACGGTTAATTAAATAGATTTGTTTAAATTTGAAATACGGTACCATTTTAACCTTAAAAATGAAGACACCTTTTTTAATTAATTGATCTGTTGTACCTGAATAATGCCTGTAAGGAACAAATATTAAATAATAATCGTATTACTTTATCCAAGTAGCAGTGAATTCAAGAATGATATATATTATTTATTATTTAAATATAATATTCATTGTAAACCTCTTTATTTTAAACAGTGGAATGATATTTATATTTATCAGTAATGTTTTAAGCAAAATGTAGTAAATGTGAAATACGAGACACTTATACCAGGACAATGGGTACTCTCGTAGTATGTGTACCACTTACGGTTAAGCCAAAGTTTTATTCCGATTTCCCCTATTTTAGTTTTATTACGAGTTCGGGGAATGTCTGTGTTAGCCAATTAAATATACGAACAAAATTAGTTACCTTCATATTGTTACTCATACTTCTGGAGCGCCGGACAATGATAGTCTCGTAACGTCGTAAGCATCATTTTGACTTTCAAAGCCGGAAAGTTTAGGCAAAAGAACTAAATTTGATAATAAATTTTGTTTCAAACAATTCGAGTGTAAACATTTTAATATCGAATTCTTTGATTATAGCATTTTCAACATTCACTCATCATCATATATACCAGGGGTGGGCACAATTTTTTAGTATAAGAGCCGCATGCTGCAAGTCAGAACTTTAAAGGAGCCGCAGAATTTGTGAATTTATCAATATTATCAAAATACCATGAACAGAAAAGAAATTCACACAAGAGTCTAATAACAATAAATAGATAAATGAGATATCGCGTGCATCTTACAGACATACATACATACAGACAAATACCTATCAACATACTTACCGATTAAAATCGATAAGTAACAAGGCAGTTATGCTCAAATATATGCACAATTTGAGCTCATTTAATTTGTGTTTCCTTATAGCTGATTTACAAGGGTAGTCTCGTAAGAAGTTTTCATAATCGATTCATGGTGCCGTTTAACATTGCTGACTTTATTCTGACTTAGTAGCTTATGGCAGATTATGCACAAAGGTTTATTCTTCTGACTGGTAAATGCGTATTCTTCTTCCCATTCTGACTTGACAACTCTGTTTTCATTTTCGTACTTTCGTTTCTTAATTGAGGACATATCGCACAGTAACTTAGAATAACTAACCGCAATTGAGCTGCAATACCGCCGACGCATCAATAAACATTGCATATTGTTACGAAAGATTTGCTGACTTGACTGACTTAAATTAAACCTACAGCGATTTTCATACTAAAACATAATTTGTCTAAATCATTGACGAAAACTTCTTTACGACTTTTAATAAATTAAAAGAGTTTAGATTAAAGTTTTTCTCTTAGTTAAAATTTGGATAATAATTTATGTTAGCGAGAAGAGCCGCACAAAAAGTTTAGCGAGCCGCGGTGTGCCCACCCCTGATATATTCAATCATATCATTGACGTTAAGCAGTGACATTTTGAATTGTTTAGAGAAAAATTTCATTTCAAAAAAAGGGGTTCACGATCGTATATCGAAGATGGAGGGCGTCTAGAAAGAGCATTATGCTATGGCCCCCTAGATCATAGGTTCTCAAAGTGCTCCGTACGGAGCCCCAGGGTTCCGCGAGAGAAACCCAGGGGCTCCCCGGGCTATTCGATTACTTTTCAAAATAATGACTAGTTTTGTAGCTGTTCAAAGAAGCAATAACAGCTTTGATAAAATTTGACAACAATATAGCCTCGAAATATGGCAAAGAGACGGAATTAAAAAATGACATTATTTATAAGCTGGGACGCAGCCAGGATTCTCAAGAGGTGGGGATTTGCGCGCAACATTCTTTGCGATTATAAAAAAACGGATAACGAGATTTCTGTTGCGTAAAATATTCAATGTATGGCCGATGCGAGCATTTAAAGTGTCTTGTCGTAATAATTCAATTGTACTCATAGTTACTCAAGTTTCATTCAAGACTACTATTAGGATTACTAAAATGAAAGAATACTATTCTAAAATAACATGAAATACGTGATAAACTGCCAACTATAAATAAATTGGAGTCGTATTTTTGCGATCTTGGAATTTGTCAAACTTGATTTGTTCTTTTGCACTCGAGATTATTATTAGGCAAGATATCGCCGTTTAAAAAATCACAAGATCTGGGCAAAATATGATTGAAATTTATTTTAATGCATGCGGCTCCGTCGGTAGTTTTAGAATAAAAAAAAAGGTAAATCGCGCACACAATTGACTGTGTTTCGATTTCGCAGTTACTATACGATGAATAACCAAAAAAATCCTAACATTACACCAAATTTTGTGATTTACAATGCCTATAAAAGCGTTTCTCACATTGAACTCATAATTCCCCACGAGAACAAAAAGCAATTATCGTCGTCATCGTGGAACAATACATGTATATGCCGAAGAAAATTTTTGATTTAGGAAGAATAAACACCGGCGTAAAGATGTTTAAAAACATGCCATGCTGACGAAAACTATCGGTGATTGTAACAAAATGCAATCGCGCACGTTATTAGGGGCCTTTTAAGTCTTCCGAAAATGTCAAAAGGGAAAAGATTCGACCCCTAGTTTATTAATATGTTTGTCAAGTGTCAAATTTACAGCTTTAGTAAGAGTATATATAATTTATCTTTGAAATTTTGATTTATTTATGACTTGCATTAACCCCATTAAAAAAGGTTTAGCATTTAAATTAAGTTAAGTACTTTTAACTTACTCAGGAATATTTATCGGAAAGCTACAATTTCAACATTTCTTCTGGGGCTCCGCGAATACTAGTCAACCTTTTTAGGGGCTCCGCAACACCAAAAGTTTGAGAACCCCTGCCCTAGATAATAGTAACGAATATTATGTCGTTACGTTTTGTGGTCCCATGATGTTTTCCCACAACCTTAATTTTTTAAAATTGCTTTCAAATTTAATTCATTATCTAATACGCTTACGTTGGGTAAAACCTTTTGAATTCATAAAAAAAAAACGAGTTTTTGCACAAAACGTTACGCTTGGTTTGCAACACACGTCTCGCGTAGCATTATAAACCCCAAATTTATTTTCAAAACGGCATCCCAAGAAGTCGTCTATGAGGAGACCATTTAAATGGCGTTTGGGATCATATAACCATCAGTTGTTCTAACTACGTATTAGTAAGACTTCACCGTGTATAAAGCGGTTTATCTGCTTCGCTATGCATTATTTAGAATATAATTATAACACCTATATTCTACAACAAAAATGATTGCTTGCATTTTGTTGAAAAAGCACAAGGAGAAGATAGCCAATGTAAAGTATCAAGCATAATTTCAAAATATTAACAATACGTTATATCATCTTATCTTATCTACGTCTTATGTATGAAATATAAGACCAATCAAAGCAATTTATTAGCAGTGCGCCTCATTCTACGTCTTATGGTACAGTACCAGTATACCATTCCCATTGCACCACGACCGTCGCAAAGGTGACATAAGGAAAAGGTGGTTTTTGAGTTGTGTTGTATGATTACGCCAGTGGTTTTATAAAAATTATCGATGGGGCCCGTGCGTACCAAAACCTAATTCAGTGGGCAGTTGGCACTTATATTTCGAACTGCGCGTCTAATGTATATAAACTCCATTAGAGACTACCCTGAAAATGTAGGATTCAAAATATCAAGCCCTATGTCCGATAGTTTGGAAATAACAAGTTTCAATTGTGATAACCACGTCCTTGGAGATCAGTGAATTGTATAAAATTTACAATAATATACTCTGGCCTAGACACATATCGCAAAGTGGCAAATGCGCGTCATTTTTTTTTCATCAAACCTAAGTTAACAATCTGTAAAATGATTAAACACACGACAATGGCATAGTAAAGTAATCTCATAGAAGGTTGACGAGGTGACACAATGTATTTAAGATCAATGTCATAATGAAAATAATCTACATGAGGATCAGGGTACTAAACCACAAGGTCAATCGATTGTATTTGATGGTGAAGCCTGTGTCGAGAGTATTTTGTACTAATAACACGAATTGTAAAAACTGCGACTGATTCATTCTTTGACAATCAGTTCCTCATGACCCCATGGTTTAGTGTGAATCAAGTGGTCAAGTGGTGAATAATAAAGTGGAACTGGGGGTGAGAGGTCGAGTTATTACATAAATGATATTTATGACACGGGATACTGTTTTAATCGCCCCTGCGCCCTATGGTAGCCTTCTACTTGTCGACGCGTAGCCCTTTACTTATTTATTTTTATTTTTTTAAAATTCAATCGCGTTCTTTTTGAGGGTGAGAATTGGTACAAAAAAAGTTTAACGCAATGACCTTAAGGTTAGATTACGCTATAACTATACGTAAACGTCGGAATCTTGGGATGGCTTTTCAAAAAATATAAACTTTGAAAACCAAAGATAACATGCCGAGGTTTAGCTATGAGTTTGAGGACTCGATGAACTTAGTCGCATTCAAAAAATAGTGAAAAAAATTTCAACTTGCTCAACTTCACCTCATCTCCATTAGTGCCTCAGATAATGACATTAACTTCTCTATTTTTGACTATTCCTCCAAAATTGCGCAAAGCTCTGAGTTTCCGTTTTTAATATTCACAAGTATAAAATGATTCCGTTTATTATCATTCGAAAAATTCTATAAGTTCAAAAAAGCGCACTAATTAAGCTCAACAATTAATATCATTTAATATGATCGATACTCAGAATACATGATTTTATAATAAAAAGGGTTTTTGATATGGATTGAGTTTACAATGAATCCACAAAAAGTCGAAAGCAGAATTTGGTGAATAAAAATACTAGTTACTCAATTTTTGAACAATGACAAGTCGTGGTAAAATTTCAGCAGAGTTACTATAAATATTGTGTTTTCTTTTGTTGATATTATTCCCATTAATCAAAAGTAGGAGGGGTATTTTTCAGTTACTTCTCACAAAGGTAGAATTGTTTGGAAGCACAACTCAAATCTGCTATCTGATATTGCAAGTGAATGTACATACAAGCACATCGTTCATGTGAATAATTTGGTTCGCCTTCACCCCATGGTGTATTAGAAGAAGTTGATGAAATTCCGTCGGACCATTTCCAGTTGTCTTGTTTCTCAAGATCGTCAAGTCCTATCCAGATCGACTTTCCCGAACTTCTGATGAACTTGTCGAGAAGATCGCTGAAAATAATATTATTTTATGTTTAATTTGGACCAACAATATCAAACAATTTGAAGTATACGAAAAATAAATTTCACATAATTCTTTTCACATAATTAAATGGATCCAACTCACTTAAAAGATTAAGCTATTCATAGTTTTTTCATTAAATTGTCTTAAGACGAGGTTAAAATCAAATATAGTGTATTTAACTTCCATCTAACAGTTGATCCTCGGAAAAAAAATTTTTTGCGCAACCTTTAGATTAAATCGATTTGAAATTTTGGAGCAGTATGCAAAAGCATATTGCTCTTTATTTCAAATTATTTTGTCTCCAATCGGGACAGAATTCTCACCGGAAATTCAGCCTCGTTATAAAATGAGTATGAAACTACTTAACTTTTACACCCAATAAATGGGAAACGCACTGGCTTTTCCACGGGATATGTGGGATCGCCTGCTGTTTTTGCAGCAGTATTATTGTCTAAATATTCATAGAGTCAAATGACAATATTATTATCACTGTAATATACAATGTTAAATTACCTGCGAATAGTTGGATTGCGAATACCGTTTGTTGCTAATTGGCCTCCCATGATTTCGCAGTATTTTCTGGCTGTTTGATAGTCCGACGATACATTGACCAATTTGTACCAATATGGGTAACTGTGAACACGATACCAACCATCTTCTACGGGTTGTAATTCACGAGCTAAAATTAAAATAAAAACAAATATAAAACCATATAAAAAAGCTTTATAATTGCTTAAAACAGAATTTATCTAGGAAAAGCCAAAGCTCCATATCGACGTTTAGATCCGGAGAGTGATTTGCAAGTTCTCATTTTTGGTCAAATATGCAACACTTGCGGTTTGCGACACAATCAATTAACGTGAAGTCCTTAAATAAAACATTGTGATGATTTATAATAAGGCTATGAATTTAAGATGGTAACCTTTTTCTTCTTCGAGGATTTGAAATTTGCGTGCTAACTCATCATAACGTGAGCAATTACATGGTGTTCCACTTTCTCCTTTAGCTCCCTGTCTTCCCGTGGCACCATTTTGTCCTTTCGGTCCAATATCACCTTTTGCACCTTCCGGGCCTTTCTTACCTGGTCGACATGTTGTTTGACATTGAGAATCATTTGGAACTAAAGAACAAATATTTTAGTTTACAAAAACCTTACACGTGAGGGTTGCAATCATCAGAGTTGTATTTGTATTTCAAATGTATCACATACATTGACTTTCTTGTATTCATGAAATTATCATCTTCAATTTTATATTTATTATAATTCTGTAATTATTTAAAAACAATCCAATATTTTACCATTTATTGCAGTTTCTCGAGCTTTTTCCATGATTAAAGATGCCATGTCCCAGGTGTCTAAAACTGAAAATATATACTTTCTTAAAATCTGAAAATCATATAAAAAACTGTAATAACGAAATATCGCATTAAATATAAAGCCAGTATTTTAGATTCAGGTTTCCCGATTAAGCAATTGTGCAATGTGGAAATTAAATAATTATTTTTTTTTAAATTACTGATTGAAATTAGAACCATCGACTTACCAATAAGACCCAATTCTATGCTAATATTATATAATTTCGTCTGTGAATTTGATAAAGGTAGAAAAATAAAACAAAATAATATAAATAGTAAGAGAGTCTACAAACAGATATATTTTCCTAAACTCACATGACGTCGGAGAGCACTTCTTTACTTTCTCTCTCTCAATTTCTTTCAGTTTCTGTTCCAAAGCTTTGATTCTGATATCGCGTTGATCGATTTTCGTTGAAGTTACATTTTCAATTTCACTAGATAGGCTTACGTCGTTATCAGAATCTCCCGAGCCAGGTTCGATCTCTGGACTCCTTGTGGCAAAGCTGATATTGCTTCGATGTTCTTGAGCGCAACATTCAACTACGCATAGAAACGTAAGAATGAAGGTTGCTAACAAACTCATTTTGTAGTGAAACCTGCACAAGAGTATCGATTTACGATAATGAAATATAACTAAGGTACCAACGCTTTATATATAGTGCTTCATTTTTTTGGCAACCATTGCCTTTTTTTGTCAATTGCCGGGCGGCGCAATATCCTCGCGATTAAAGTCTTAAGATGCAAATGGCACCGCAGATTACACAAATCCCATGCGCCCTGCCCTACTCAGGGGGTAATAAATTGGGTAGGCAGTGCTGAAACCAAAAGGTTCAGGTCATTCCAAATAAATACTAGCTACTCAAATATCATCAGAAGTTTGTGGGTGCTTGTACATGGCCTTGTTTTGAGTGAAAGGCGCGAGTAAGCGTCGTACTTGAAGAAAATTCACATTTTTTATTTTTTTTTATTTTAATAGAGAATGACCCAGAATCGTGAGAGTGTTTAAAATTTGTATATTTCTGCAACGTTAGTTAATTGTGAAATCATACATTTGTAACTATATTCTTTTGCGGTATTTTTAGTAGCCGTTATTTTAGCCTGTTTTTGCATTTATAAAATTTTACTCGATGCTGCATACCTATTCCAGTTTCACATTTCCCCTATAATAATTCGATACTTATTTTATATTCCTGTTTGATACAGAAAATATTTGGACTAATAAAAAAATATTTTCATACCACGTCGTTATACATTCGATTTTATTTCCTCTAATTAGGGTGATTTCCTCTGATTGTTTTATGAGGTTTAAGAGTCTGTGACATGCTTAAAACAACTTTGAGCGTCGCATTAAAAAATTCCAGCTTCCTCGTTTCTTTATTTTCCCCAGATAGATTGAAAATCGGTGGAATTACTTTTTTAACGTTATTACACCTACACACAAGATATGTGATAGGCAAGAGCCCATTACACCAACAATATATTTTTTTAATATTTTTCTTTATATTTAAGGGGGTCTATATAAAAACAATCGATGCATAATCAAGAAGTAAACCTAACCGTTGTTGAGAAATTTAGTAATGTTCGGGTAGAATTCCACTTGGAATAAGTATATACTTACTTAACATTCCTGTTAAGTTTGAACCCGCCAAACTTACGTTTGAATTGAGTCAAATAATTCAACCGGGGTTATGAATTGGGGACATCCTAAATGTTGCATTTGTCACATATTCTCATATAAAGTTGACCAGGTGACACAAAATATAAAGCTCCAATATTATAATGAAAAGAATCGACATGAATATCAGTGTTTTAAACCACATGGTCAACCACAGGTCAATCGATCGTATTTGATGTTGAAACCTGTATCAAGATTATTTTGTACAATTAACATTAATTTCAAAGGCTTTGGCATATTCAATCTTTTACAATCAGTACCTCATTAACCCTCCCACCTCCAGATCCACTGTATTAATCACTGTTTCATTAAATTCATGTTCACACAAAACTATATTATGATGAGATAAACGATTGTCTAAAACGACTATGCATAACCTTTTAAAAATAATGTTAATAGTACAAAATACTTTTGGCACTCGTTTCACCATCGAATACAAACGACTGACCTATGGTTGACTATATGGTTTAAAACACTGATATTCATGTCGATTCTTTTTTTATTATGATATTGAGATTTGATACTTTGCGTTACCTCCTCAACCTTCTATGAGAATATGTGACAAATGCAACGTTGAGGATGTCACCGATTCCTAACCCCGATTGAATTATATGATTCAATTGAAACGTAAGGATAGCGGGGTCAATAACTGTTTGTCATTTACTTCAATTATTTCTCGTATCAAACATGGATGTCAATCAAGTATCTGCTTATTCTAAGCAGAATTCCACAAAAAGTGGACCCAAATGTTTATTAAAAACTCTTTCAATCATGGTTACTTCTTGATTACGCATTGATTGTTTATATTTACATTTGAATAACACGCTTCAAAATATAAATGAAAACAATTAAAAATATATTATTTACGTAATGAGCTCTGAGCTCATACGATTACATATGCCATGGGTGGGTGTGTCATGGTGTAATGCCGTTGAAAAAAATAAAAAAGTACTCTAACGATTCCCGATCATTTTGCGGAAATAAGAAACAAGAAAGCTGGATTTATTTTAATGCTACGCTTAATGTTGTTTGAAACAGGACACCGACTCTTGACCCGAATTAACCTATCAAATTAGAGAAAATCAAATCAAATGTATAGGTGGCGCGGTATAAGAACTATTCTTTTACAGTCCAAATATTGTTTGTATCGAACACGAATTCAAAATGAGTATGGGCTTATTATAAGGGGGGAAACTTGAATGGGTATGTGGCAGCGAGTAAAATTTTATAAATGCAAAGACAGGATAGAATAATGGCTGCTGAAAATGAAGCAAAAGAATATGTATGATTTCACAATTAACTAACGTTGCAAAATTATTACAACATTGGACACTCTCACTAATATGGGCCATTCTCTGTTAAAATTAAGAAACAAGAAATGTGATTTTCTCTGAGTACGACGCTTACTCTCGCCTTTCACTCAAAACAAATCCATGTACAAACAACCACTGACTTCTAATGATATGAGTAGCTACTATTTATTTGGAATGACCTGAACCTTTCGGTTTCAGCAGTGCTTACTCAATTTATTACCCCCTGAGTGGGGCAGGGCGCATGGGATTTCTGTAATCTGCGATGCCATTTGCATCTTAAGAATTTAACCGCGAGGTTATTGCGCTACCCGGCAATTGACAGAAAAGGCAATGGTTGCCAAGAAAAAAATGAAACAATATATATAAAGCGTTGGTACCTAAGTCATATATCCATTATCGTGAATCGATACTCCTGTGCTGGTTCTCACTACAAAATGGGTTTGTTAGCATTCTTCATTCTTACGTTCCTATGCGTAGTTGAATGTTGCGCTCAAGAACATCAAAGCAATATTAGCTTTGTCACAACGAGTCCAGTGATCGCACCTGGCTCGGGAAATTCTGATAACAACGTGAGCCTATCTAGTGAAATTGAAAATGTAATTTCAAGGAAAATTGATCAACACGATATCAGAATCAAAGCCCTGGAACAGAAACTAAAATTAATTGAGAAAGACAAAGTAAAGAGCTGCTCGCCAACGTCATGTAAGTTTGAGAAAATATATCTGGTCGTAGATTCTTTTATTATTTCTATTATTTTGTTTTACCTTTCTATATTTATCAAATTACAGACGAAATTATATATTATCAGCATAGATTTAATGCTTATTGACAAGTCGATTGTGTTTGTTTTAATCCCAATCATTGAATTGAAAAAAAGAATTTTTGATTTAATCACAAGATTGCACCAATTCGTAATCGGGAAACCTGAGTCTAAAGTATTGGTTTTATATTTAATGCGATATTTTGTTTATACAATTATTGGCGTTCGAGAAGTATGTGTACCAATATGGAGGTATCTAATTTTGTTCGCCTACTTTACATCAAGATGTGTAAATGAACGGAGGCCTATGGGTAGGGGGTATATCCACTTGGGTAACACAGACAGTCCCCGAACTCGTATTAGAACTAAAATATGGAAAATCGGAATACAATTATGGCCTAACTCTAACCTGGTACACATACTATGGGATTCCCCCATTTTATTATAAGACAGATTTTCAGATTATTGAGTTTTGAGAGAGTATATATTTTCAGTTTTAGACACCTGGGACATGGTATCTTCAACCATAGAAAAAGTTCGCGAAACAGCAATAAATGGTAAAATATTGGATTATTTTTAAATAATTAGAAATACAAATACAACTCTGCTAAATGCAACCCTCAAGTGTAAAAATTTTGTAAACTAAAATAATTATTCTTTAGTTCCAAATGATTCTCAATCTCAAACAGCCCAGAAGGTTCAAAAGGTGATATCGGATCACCAGGACAAATTGGCACCACGGGTCACCACGGGACGTCAAGGAGCTAAAGGAGAAAGCGGAACACAATGTAATTGCTCACGATATGATGAGTTGGCACACAAAGTTCAAATCATCAAAAATAGTTATTACCTCAAATTCCTACTCTTATTATATTTTATAACATTAATTTATTTAAAAACCTTACGTTAATTGATTGTGTCGCAAGTGTTGAATATGGCTGAGACTGAGGATTTGCAAAACCGCTCTCTTGATCTAAACTTTAATATGAAGCCCTGGCTTTTTTGAGAAATCCATATATTAAGCAATTATAAAGCTTTTTTTATATGGTTTTATATTTGTTCTTATTTATTTTAAGCTCGAGAATTACAACTCTAAGCAGATGGTTGGTATCGTGTTCCCAGTTACCCATTCTGGTACAAACTATTCAAAGTACGGTCAGACTATCAAACAGCCAGAAAAAACTGCGAACTCATGGGTGGTCGATTAGCAGCAAAGGGTATACGCAACCCATCTATTCGCAGGTAATTATACAATTATAATAGTATTGTCATTTGACTCATATAAATATTAAAACAATAATACTGCTGCAAAACACTTTGATGATCGCACATATCCCGTACGAAAGCCGGTAACGCTTCCCTTGTATAGGGTGTAGACAGTGGCGGCGCGTGGTCATTTTGACAACCGGGGCAAGCTACTGCGGGACCAAGTCACCCCCATCTACGGGGACAGGATGAGCGCTGTAAGTTCTCCCATCATTTTATGAGTATAAAAACCATTTCATCGGTAACAACCAATCGGCAAAAGTGACAATTTTTAACGATAAGAAAGTGTCTTTAAAACCGGTCCAAGTCAAGGGATTAATAAATATGGACATAGTTTATTTTGAAACCTCTTTCAAAAGGAAAGACAATATTTACCCAGATAAATACAATGACATATTAACAGAAACTTCGGAAAAGCAGACAAAACCTAAAATAAGGTTTAAAACGTTACTATGAAGAAAGGAAAGTTAATGCAAAGATAAGGACATGCGTCGCTTACTCATAGATATATATGCTGCTAGACTTCTACTGCTTAAACATATATGCAACACGCCGCGGTTTCTTGGAAG